GACTCCGTCACTGCCCATTTTACCTTAAAGTTGGCAAGCGAACGAGATTGAAACCAATTAAAGGGTCCACCTGTTGCTAAATGTCTACTGATTTAGCTTCAATTTGTGATCATGGAAGTAGCTTCACCATCTCATGCTTTCTTGTATAGATGCTGATTCTTTATTTCATGGTTGTACAGGGAATTTGATGGTTAGGCATTCCCCTTATCTGGTGTATGTGATTTTGCCTATACAGAGATAACATAAAATAAATAAGAAAATGACTAAACACACAAAAAATAATTATAGGAAGTTATTTGAAATATTTATTTGAGATGATTCCTGTAACACTTTTTCTGATTTTTTGTGATGTGATACATGTGAAATACAAAGGTGGTTGAAAATTGAGTGTGTGATGCAGGCAAAGCAAAATTAAATTTTTTTTTTAAATCTTATAATCCAAACGCTTTTTATATTTAATGCAATTTTGAGCTGCTGACTCTTAACATCATCAGTTATCAAATGTGTTAAAAAGAAAGAAAATGCTGCAACAATGAAAATGTGCTATATGTAGTCGAGTGCCACAAAATGCAGAATTATGCTTTGTAGATAACAAGAATTGCATTAGTTGGAAAAGGAGGACAAGCCTTTTTTCTTTTATCAAGATGGTAGCTTGATGGTATTCATTCGTCTCATATCTGTTTCTTTTGCCCCCTCTTTTGTCTCATGGCCTCCTCCTCCTCCTCAGAGTAAGGCGAAACTAGGCTTTGTGTACAAGGAAAGGCATGATAACCTTTTATGTTTTGATCTTGAAATGGAATATTATTTGGATAGAGTATTATTTGGAATAATTGCTGTAGCATTTTTTACATTATGGGAACCAACTTTGTCTTATACATATATTTACATATTATGAATTAAAATTACCACAACTTAGCTCCCCTCAGCCCCTTGGCTCCGTCATTGAAAATGGGAATACAACAACACAAGAATGAAAATGGGAATACAACAACACAAGAATTAGGGGGACTAATATCTCTTCTGGCTTCATGTTCACTTTTGTACGATGTTAAAATTGCATACATTCGAGTGGTTCTTCTTTGACAGTTAATTCATGATGCAAAAGTGTAATTTAGCTCCAAATCACTGTAACTTTTGTTGATACTATGACGTCCATAGTAGAAAAAGGACTTTCTACCAGGAGAACGCCAGTAATTCCCTAGTACTGCTAGCTTATTAGGCCTTGAACAATTTTTAGTTCAAGAAAACAGGTGAACTTGTCCAAACTAGAACAAGAAAACAGAGGCACAAAGCCCGTTGAAGCTCAAAGCTCTTTGCCTGGTTGCTGCGAACTCCAGCCAAAGCAGACCTCACCATGGCAAGAGAAAGAACTTCAACCTGCTGTAATCAAACAAACCCAACTTAAGGCACAAATGCCAGACTCTGAGTTTCCTCCACTCCCACCCAAAATTTGAACATTTCCCAGTTTCAGAGCTTCCCTGTAAACTCATCGCTTAAATGCTCTAAAGACTCCCAAGTAAAGTCTCTCTCAAAATTGGAGTGCGCCTAAAAAACTTCGGCTATGTTTCTGATAAACCAATTTTGTCTTTCAAATCTAGAGTAATAAATTCCAAAAATAACTCTAAAAAAACACATCATCTCAAAATACTACCCACCACCACCCATCTCCCTCCACCGTCGCCGCCGCCGCCGCCACCTCCCTCCCCCCTCCTCCTCGCTCTCCTTCTCCTTCCTCTTCAAAATTTCACTAGATAAGCATGATTAGAGCCATCTTAAGCTCATGTTTAGCAATTGCTGACCAATTGTTTGTTTTAAGGACGGTACTTTTCAATCTTTACCAACTGCACCAATCACCAATGTAATTGACATTGACACCCAATGAAACAAATTTCTCGTTTTTTTTGCTTTGTGTTATTGCATTGAGTTGATGTATATTCAGGATAGGGATGATTTATCTCTCTGGGACCCGTGATTTTAGAAAATTTAAGCAGTCGACCAGGTCTGGTTTTCCAGTTTAGCCTAATTAGGAGTATACTTTTCGATTTATTTATGATGAGTCCGGCGATGATTATGAAGTCTTACGGGGGTTTACAAGAGCTCTGGGTTCGTTTGGACTGCTCAGGCATGTTGTTGCACACGGGAAGGTTTATTGGCTGCTTTGATTTGGCCTTCTGTACATTGATTTCGGGAAGCTACCTAATTATGAAAGGAGGATGGTGGTTGTGGTTTAGCTTAAGGAGTTTGGGAGGCATTCTTTGTCTGCTTTAGGATAGTAATGCAAGTAGTGCAGGCAGCATATGGTTGATGAATGAGTATAGGATGAAAGATTATGGAATGAAGCACTTGTTCTGCCTCTGTGAAATGGTTCTGGTGTTGAATGCTTGATCACCAGCATTCTGCCTATTAGAGGCGGGCGAAACATTTTGTTGCTTTCTGGATCAGTTTTTTCCCTATAATCCAGATGATGCATCATTCAGGTTTCACGAGATCACAAATTATAACATGTTGAAGGGCCAATTAAAGCACAGCGCAAGTACACCATGGATTTCTGGTCAGTAAGTGGTGAGGTTGACAAGACTAAAAAGCACTCCACAAGAAAATCACGAGAGAAAACAAGAACATAGCCTTCCCCTGGATTGAAATTGATTGCTGATCTATTATTTTCCAAAATTGTTTCCATGATCGCTTGGGCAAAACTAAACTATTCATGTAAGTCACAGCTTTCACTTTGTTAAACAATGAGGTTATACATGTATAAACTTCTGCTGAAACATAATTTGAATCTCAACACAAAAGGGTGAATGCTTGGTGCGACAAAATGAGGTTTTGTATTCAAGCTCTGGGATTGAACACAAGCACTTTATCATAAAAAAAACCTAAAGAAAATGTTCTGCTGGCCGTTGTTGTTCCCAAATAGAAAGAAATTTTGCTTCTTGATGTTTGTTGTGCAATGAGCAGCAAATATGTGTGTGTGTGTGTGTGTGTGTGTGTCCAGTCAGCACTCACCACAGCAGGAACAGAATTGCCTCTTATTCTGCAACATTATAGACTGAGACGGGAAGATCAGGAAAAAAAAAATACTGGTTAGGATAGAGACCATATTCATGGAATGAAAAGAATGACTTGGCTCAGGAATCTATTCATGATGGAGGATATATGACAAACAAACATTAATTATTACAGCCTACAGGTTTCACATCTCATTACTAGAGTATTTTATGTGGTAATCAATCTCCTCTATTGACTGAATCTACATATAAAATCAAGAACTTATTCCTCATTAGTTTTCTACAGTCATTAACCTTAGATATATGGTCATGCCAAATGATATAAAAACAAATACGAGCTAGTTCAACTGGCTAAGTTTACATAGTTAGATAAAAAACAGTATTCTTGTAATCAGATCTACATGTACATGTAGGATTTACTCATACATCGTCAGTATAGGAAAGATTTACTCATATGAGTGTGTCTAGATTGTCAATTATTTCACTTTATTTATACCTTATTTACACACACTGATTTGCTTACATCATCAACACATTTTCGAATCACCTTTTTATCTCACATACATCATATCAAAAAGTACTACAGTATTTTTTCACAAAATTATCTCACATAATTTACAATCGAACACACTCATATTAGAGGAATCCAAAGAGGTTAAGAGAGGACGCGGGGTGACTTAATCACTTACTGAAAAGTCTGAATTTGAATGTAGGCCCAAATAGAGCGTTAAGACACTATTGATCACAACTATTTTAAGTGTAGTTGTTTGGTTAGCATTGATTAGTAGTACATAAGTACTTGTAGTTGTATATTGTTTCTGTAAGGTAAGAGAAGGCGCCGAGACCGCCCTACATTACGTACACACACTTTGGGTACTTTTGCGGGATGGGTTAATGTGAGGAGTTATTGAAAAAGTTAAAAAAGAACTCCCAAGAAAATGACAGAGATCGTTTACAAATGACTGTGAATTACTATAATTACTCTTAATGTGACTATGGATACATAATTAAAAGCTACAAATTACTCTCAATCTATCAATGTTCAATCTAGAAATTACTAGAGCCTGCAAAAATCTAAATTTTATAAGTGTATTTCATATTTTAAAAAAAAAATATTACACTTACGTTTTAGTAACAAAATTACACCTATCTCCTTTGATTTGATAGTTATAATAACAAAATCTTAAAATAATATTGACTTGATCAAATTTTTAAATGAATACCGAAAAACACCTTTGTATAATGAGTTTTAATTTATTTTTTTATACAATTATAAGATTATCTAGTATAATTTTAAGGAAAATGTGCCAAATTTTTTCATGTCCATACCAATTATTTAATAAATAATTATAATAATAAATTTATCACTATGATAGGTCATTTTTGATGATATTTTATTATGGATTTAGATTTAGAAGATAGAAAATAAAATGTTGAAATAATTTATTTAGAATTTATGAATTTTTCGAGTAGTGAAATTATCATAATTTAGTAGTAGTTTTGGGTAATTTCTTTTTTATTTATTATTAATTTTAATACCAAAAAAAATAGAAAACAAAGATCAGCAAAAATATTAAATTACATATAAGTTAACTCATAAAAAAAATCACTAGTTCGATATTTGGATATAATAGAAACTAGAGGTAATAGTGATAGCTCTATAGTTTTAATGGCAAAAAAATTTTAAAAAAAAGGAATAAGAAGGAAAAAAATGAAAAAATAATTTTAAAAGTCATGTATACTTAGTATAAGCATAACAAACAAGGGAATTTCATTAAAATATTTAAGGACATTATTATTTTTTGAAATGATAAGGGAGGTATGTGTAATTTTTAAAATCTTAAAGGAGCTAAATGAAATTATTAAAAATTTCAAGAAGGTTTCTGAAATTATCCCTTTTTATATTTATACCAACTGTCATGTTATTTAAGTTTGCACGTGTTGTTTATTTTAAATTTTCTTTACATCATGTGACATAAGTAGTCGTAAGGAGACTGAATTTGGCACTCCCAGTCCCAGTAGTCCAACTGACTTGCCCAGCGGCCTTCAACCCGCTCGGAGTCTTTGCCGGTACCGGGAAAGTCAACAGGTCATGCATCCTCTGAAACACTAGCCCAGCCATTTCTTCCTTTCTTGGCAGCAAAAAGATCCTCCAACCGAAAAGCAAATCACTTAAAACAGATGGGAAACATACTTGCATTCCCGAAGCGATCCCCTCCTTCCCTTTTCGAGAAGCGATCCCCTCCTGAGAACCTTTTCGACCTTCCCTTTGACGTCCAGTGTTACAGTGTAAGATCCTCTCCGGGCTGCCATTGAAATCCCTCGTGCAATTCAGTTGCGCTTCAAAGCAAGCGAGGGAATTAATTGACGACCCGATATTCATCAGAGCCCATCTAAAATTGATCAATAGCTTAACAGACAGCCGAAGGGTGCTTATTTTGTGGTGGGATCCTAACTTATGTCGTCTCAAACAGTGTTCTCTTAGCTCGTTATTGTGTGCACCAAGTACTGAAACTGTTGACATTAATTATCCACCATTTAAAAATCCCTTTACTGGTGTCAGAGTTGTGGGCTGCTGTAATGGATTAGTTTGTATTGTCTTTGACGGAACTAAAATAATTTTGTGGAACCCATCTACTCGAAAATCAAAGATCGTACCGGATTTAGGCATTAGGGTAGAGGAAGATAAAGGTTTACCGGTTGTGACGTACTTAATATTTTCATGGGGTTTTGGATATGACAAGATTGAGGATGATTACAAAGTAGTAGCGGTGGCGTACGAGGCTGACCAAGGCGCTGCTACGGCCATGGATGGCGAAGTCCCTAAGGTTAAGGTTAAGGTTAAGGTTAAGGTCTACAGCACCAAGAAAGGAATTTGGAAGCGTATAGGGGATTTTCAAGGTGGTTATCCTCCGCTGGGGGTAGATGGTACATTTGTGAATGGGAAGTTGCATTGGTCACTGGAGGCAGAAGCTGGTGGAGATATTGTTTCCCTTGATTTAACAACAGAGACGTATGGACGGATAGAGAAACCTGAACAGATGAAGAAACCTGAAATTAAATGTGATGAAGATTCTGAATCTTTGTTTGAGCCAGTCTTGGAAGTTTACCAAGAAAAGCTTTGTTTACTTTGTTCTGTGGATAATGGTCATACAGATGTTTGGATGATGGAGATATATGGGGTTACAGAATCGTGGAAAATGCAGTTCGCTATCCTGATTAATAATCCTGGCGGGATTTCTAGACCATTGTGCCGGTCAGAGGACGGTGAAGTTTTAGTGTCAACTGGCACCAAGTCGGTACGCTACAACCCAGATAATGCTGCATATGTTGATATTCCATTTCGAGATCAAAACATAGAAGTTTATCATGCCTTTCCTTATACACAAAGCCTAGTTTTGCCTTACTCTAAGGAGGAGAAGGATGCTATAGAACAAAGGAGGAGGTGTAAGAAACCGAGATGAGACAATTGAATACCATCAAGCTACCATCTTGATTAAAAAAGAAAAAAAAACGGTTTGTCCTCCTTTTCCAACTGATGCAATTCTTGCTATCTACACAGCTTAATTCTGCATTTGTGGCACTCGACTATATATAGCACATTTTCATTCTTGCAGCATTTTCTTTCTTTAACACATTTGATAACTGATGATGTTAGAGTCGGCAGCTCAAAATTGCATTATTTTTTGTGTGTTTATTTATCTTCTTATTTATTTTATGTAATCTCTATATCTTTATCGATAGCAAAATCACATACACCAGATAAGGGGAATGCCTAACCATCAACTTCTCTGTACAAGCATGAAATAAAGGAGTATCTATACAAGAAAGCATGAGATAGTGAAGCTACTTCCATGATCACAAATTGAAGATAAATCAGTATACATTTGGCAACAGGTGGACCCTGTAATTGGTTTCAATCTCGTCGCTTGCCAAATTTAAGGTAAAATGGGAATACAACAACAGAAGAATTAGGGACTAATCTCTCTGCTGGCTTCATGTTCACTTTTGTACGATGTTAAAATTGCATACATTCGAGTGGTTCTTCTTTGACAGTTTATTCATGATGCAAAAGTGTAATTTAGCTCCAAATCACTGTGACTTTTGTTGATACTATGACGTCCATAGTAGAAAAAAGGACTTTCTACCAGGAGAACGCCAGTAATTCTCTAGTACTGCTAGCTTATTAGACCTTGAACAATTTGTAGTTCAAGAAAACAGGTAAACTTGTCCAAACTAGAACAAGAAAACAGAGGCACAAAGCCCGTTGAAGCTCAAAGCTCTTTGCCTGGTTGCTGCAAACTCCAGCCAAAGCAGCCCTCGCCCTGGCAAGAAAAAGAACTTCAACCTGCTGTAATCAAACAAACCCAACTTAAGACACAAATGCCAGACTCTTGAGTTTCCTCCACTCCCCCCCCCCCCCCCCAAAAAAAATTTGAACATTTCCTAGTTTCAGAGCTTCCCTGTAAACTCATCGCTTAGATTCCATTCATGAAATCCAGTATTTGTCTTGCATAAAATCAAGTATTCCCTGTTAGTCCATTCAAATTTTCAAATTTGGACTTGTTGGTGAAGCAATTTGGAATTATTTATCAAGCGATTTGGGATTTCTGGACTTCTAAGTGCTCAGTGTTATCTCATTCCTTCCTCCAACTAGTATTTTTTTTGCTCTCATTTTGCACTTAATGTAAATTCTCTCTTGCTACTGTTTAGTTTAGAAAATAAAATCTAGTGTCTCAGTTGCTAGATAGATTTTGCCAACCTAGTATGTAGCTATATGCTATACTTTTCATGCCATCTTGTCACTGATCAATTAGTTTTTCTTTCTTAGTTTTGGGCAAATTGGGAGGTCTAATAAGATCTGGATTTTTTTTATTGTTCTTTGTGAGAACCAAGATTAAGGTTAGCGCTTTGGTTTGGCATACTAGTAAATAAACAGCTTGGAATTGTCTTGCTTGTCCTCAGCTAAAGAAGCCATAAAGTACTCATCAACCTTCTGATGGGGATTTTTAAATAGGAAAAACTGCATTTCATATTAATTTATGGCCCTGAGGTGATTATCTGTTGCTATATGACATGAAGTGCAGTGAATCCTATGCTGTTTCATCCCTTGTACAATGTGTTTCATAGTACTAATATCAATTGCTCTTTGAGAACAGTTTAAATGTGTTGCGGCTCTGCGCTCCCCAAGACTTTGTCTCTTGTGTTCCAAACATGAAATGTCTCATGTCCATGGATGGAAGACTGTTGAAGACTGATTCTATACCTGCAGATTGTTAGAAACAATTATGCTTGACCTCCTACTCCTTATATCAGCCTTGGTGTCGATAGTAGTCATTATTTTGGCTGTCATGCACACTTGTTGTGCAGCTTCTTTGAACTTCTCTAAAGGTTTTGGTCCTTCCAAACCTGTCTCTTGAACTTGGAATATTGATCTTTGGCTTCTTATTGTAAAACAAGAGAATGACTCCTTATTTTCGTGGACGAATTCCAGAATCTCTCCATTTGTGCTTGTGTATATACACCTGGTAGCCTTTGGCTTTATAATCTCTGCAGGTTTGAGAATCCACGTGGTCATTTATGAAAAAGAATTTCATGAGCTGGTTTCTCGTGAACAAACTCAGCCATTGCACTTTTCTTGTGAAAAAGAATTACATGAGCTGGTGCCTTTTGACGTAATATTAGTAAGAAGACATCATCCACCAACTATTCTTACATGATCCGCAACGATCCTTAATGTAAAATAAACATACATGTGTCACTCTATTACGTAGTGTAAAGAAGTATAACATTAAAAATGTGACAAAATATGTAAATTCCCAAAATACTAATGTATACTTATTTTATGGAATGAAAAATGTAATATCTGATGAGCAATAAAGAATACATATATGTAACTATACACATATATCTAATTGGTATAGGAAGCTACCATTACGAATTTTCTTTTTCCTTCTGTCTTGCTTTCTTTGTATTTCCTATGTTTACTTTACTAATCAATACCTCCATCCCCAATATTTGTCATTTTTCGGCGACTCAAAATAATAAAGTTCTAAATTTAAAGCCTTGATATGATTAGATAGATGGCATTTCAATGCACGCATTAGGAATTTGGCTTGCTATCTATTGTTATCTTTGTGTAATTGATTATTGAGTAGATATGAGTGTGGAGTTTTTTTTAGTATATATAAAAACCTAAGGTCTTGTGTTGGATTGCTGTTTTCCGTCGAAAAATTACGTTATTTTTCGTAATCACATTTTCCTATTACCTTTTTCCCTCACATACATCAAATCGCTACAGTAATTTTTCTATGAAAAATCATGAAAAATGCAATCCAAACACAACCTAAGTATTTTGTCCTCTTCTCACCCAAATATGCCTAAAATTCCCAAGTACATAAAAAAGTATCTTCATGTTACAAGAAATGGTATAACAAAAAAAAAAAAAAAAAAAAAGGTAACCAAAACATTTAAATAGATTATAAATGAATAATTGATTTTTATTTAATTCATTTAGATCCATTAAGTGAATTGAATAAATTTCATCCACCATTCATTAAGTCAAAACTAATTATGAACCATTTATCCATATTACCGCGTCTCGTTAGAAAGCAGATGAAGGTGAGTGTTTCATGTGATTTGCCGACGCACACAACTTTGCTTCCTCTAAGAATAGCTAAATTCAATACGATTACGAACGTTTGCACTATCATTCCAAAAACTCTCAGCATAGGAATCCTGTAGTCAGGAAGTTGATTGGCTGGAATCTGGAATTACATCATCTGATTTGGCATAATTGTACCTAAACTACTATTTTGTTTTCGGGCTCTAAAATATCCAGCAAGAGTTTTCCGTGTAGGAGTTAGTTCGTGTATGTATGTAGGTATTTTTAGGGAGACAGAGTCGCCTTCTGGCTCAAAGAGATCACTAGTCCTGGCACCGCTACACCTGGCGCCAGGAGTAGCAGCTTGGTAGCGGTAAAGCTAACCGACGCCTTGGTAACAGTTTCAAGTCCGTAGGAATTCCAATAATGGCGTATAGCTTTTAGAGCATGAGACGATGCATACTCTATAATCAAATAGTAACTTTTATTTGATGCCTGTCTAATCAAATCAAATCAATCCATTTTTTTGGAGCAAAAGGTTACTTTTATGCAGAATCCGTTGCTTATGAATTTTTCTTAAATGGCTGTATCCACTTTCATAAATATCTAGAAAATCCAACTATAATGGATGAGCCACCATATGATGAATGTCATTTTCCTTGCCTATTTTTTTCTCTGTGTTTTGCCCCCATATATTCAGGTGATTTCTCATCTTTTCTTCCCCAGATATCAAGTTCGTGTCACCAATGGTCTGCCTAATAACACCATTCCCTTAATCATTCTTTGCCAATCTTATGAGCTTGAATATCATAACCGAGCTGTAAATGAAGAATTCCAATGGGACTTTCGCCTTAACTTCTGTGGGACGACATTTTTTCCGCCATTTTTGGCGGGCTGGGAAAGATAAAAGGCATTAGACGTTTTCAACAAAGCTTTGGCTGAAGATGTGTGTTGTAAAGATTGCCCTTGGATAGTGAAAGAACTCGAGGGTCTTTACCTTGATTTTTGTTTGAAGGAAGCTTCAATTGGATACTTGGTGATGTTGAAATTGATTTGAATTTCCTAAATGTAGACTGCAGTGGTAGCTTTAGGAAAATGAATGATAATCTTTATATGCAGATCACGGATGATAGAGGCCATGCAGTTAGGAAGAAAGCTGGTACAATACCCTACTAGGCATAGGCAGAGGAGGAGAACCAGGCCAGGGATGTAAAATTAAGATTTGAAAAGGATATGATAATAATAATAATAATGTATTTCATAACATCAAGGATTAAATTTGACAAAATGTCAATACACATAGCCATTAAAAAAAAACAATAAAGTATGAAAAGTACGAACTTGAAGAACAGGAAGGTATCTAGCAGAGCATGCATTTAAATTAAAGAGTGTGTGGAGTAAAACGAGCAAGATGTCCTCTTTAATCGTAAACCATATTTTGAAACACAAGAAGGTGCCAATTAAAGCACAACGCAAGTAGTAACTGCTTTCTGGCTCGAGTACACCATGGATTTCTGGTCAGTAAGTGGTGAGGTTGGCAAGACCGAAAAGCACTCCACAAGAAAATCACGAGAGAAAACAAGAACATAGCCTTCCCCTGGGTTGAAATTGATTGCTGATCTATGATTTTCAAAATTGTTTCCATGATCGCTTGGGCAAAACTAAACTATTAATGTAAGTCACAGCTTTCACTTTGTTAAACAAGAATATTAAATTAAAAAACAATGAGGTTATACATGTACAAACTTCTGCTGAAACATATAATTTGAATCTCAACACAAAAGGGTGAATGCTTGGTGAGACAAAATGAGGTTTTGTATTCAAGCTCTGGAATTGAACACAAGCACTTTATCATAAAAAAACCTAAAGAAAATGTCCTGCTGGCCGTTGTTGTTCCCAAATAGAAAGAAATTTTGCTTCTTGATGTTTGTTGTGCAATGAGCAGGAAGTGTGTGTGTGTGTGTGTGTGTGTGTGTCCAGTCAGCACTCACCACAGCAGGAACAGAATTGCCTCTTATTCTGCAACATTAAAGACTGAGACGGGAAGATCAGGAAAAAAAAAATACTGGTTAGGGTAGAGACTTTATAATTTCTGTAATGGCATATAAATATAGAGAGAACAAAATAATGCAGATTGTGTTCCTTTCCAATTTTATTCATGGAATGAAAAGAATGACTTGGCTTGGCTCAGGAATCTATTCATGATGGAGGATATATGACAAACAAACATTAATTATTACAGCCTACAGGTTTCACATCTCATTACTAGAGTATTTTATGTCGTAATCAATCTCCTCTATTGGCTGAATCTACATATAAAATCAAGAACCTATTCCTCATTAGTTTTCTACAGTCATTAACCTTAGATATATAGTTAGATAAAAAACAGTATTCTTGTAATCAGATCTACATGTAGTCTTTAAAACACAAAAATCCAGTACTACTGAGTAAGAAGATTTGCAACTTATTATTTTTTGATTCAGATAAACTGAACAAAAGTTAACAAACACCAAACAAGATGAAACAAGCAGTTGATCAAACAAATGATAAGGCAGCAAGAAACCAACCTCTTTCATGTCTTCAATTGCTGACGTCCACTCCTCAACCTTGTCCCCATAATCACACGGATGAACTAAACTTTCTGTGTATACCACAGTATTCTTGAAACTGCAGATATGAACATCTGGATTCTCATTCTTGAATACTTGTTGAAATGCCTTCTTTTTCATGTCATATATGAAAAGTTCCCTTTCAGGCTTCGTCCTAACCACAAAATGTCCATTTCGCATCATGCAAATTGGTTCCAGGCCCACCAGTGTTTCCGAATACAGAATAGATATAATCTTAGTCCAATAGCTGCTATTTCCATCATCCATCAATGACCACACCACAAAATCGTGGTTGGCAGAAGTCCTCCATTGGAGACTAAGCCGTCCTGCCAAAACCTTCAAGATTGGGACAGCTCCCACAACCTCACAAGGAGGAGGCAACATCTCAACAAATCTTTCTTCAGCCAAACTGAAAGACAAAACTTTATACTTCTTTCCTTCTTTTTGCACGATAAAGTAGGCGGAATCATTAACACAGACAATAACAGCACGTTTTTCGGCCCTAGTGTAAGCATCATTCAAAACTTGATCGATGTTGCAAGTCCCATAACCATTCAGAACCCGATCATTTAATTTTCTCCAGGTATTTTCTTTCAACGAAAACAACCAACAATCATAGGTACCATTGTCGTAACAAACTCTAAGAATTTTGTAATCATCATGCAGTGAATCATATCCAAACCCATATAACAGATCAAAATGTGATGATGATGATGACTTCAGTGTTGGAATCCTTCTCAATTTTCCCGTGGAGGGATTCCACACGAACAAAACCCTTTCATCATCCAAGGCAATAAAGAGCAAACCATTACAAGCACAAACAATTGTAGATAGAATAATACAGCGCCTTCCTACGGGAATTTCAACTTGTTTAGCTCTGGGATTTTCACTATCAGCTAAACTTGATGTGTCCAAGATGTAAAAATCAGGATCATTATAAGCCGAGCAAAAATGAGTTGGCATAAAGATTTTCTCACCGTCACACTTGTGCTGGTGAATCTGAAGGTGCAACTTCACAAATTCACGACTCTGGATTACAGAATGCCATGATTTCGATACGCATTTGAATCGACAGAGGGTCTTGACTGGCAGAAATTTTAGAATGTCACCAAGCAAATCACGGGGCAAGTGGGAAATCATAGCCATGGATGATTCAATCAATTGGGATTCTGCCACTCTCACTAGGGTTTAAGAAGGAGGAGGAGACAACAAATTAAGAATCAACATACTCATCGAGGAAAAGAGGTACGGCCGATCGGCAACTCATAGGATGCCGGTAAAACGGGCCTGCGGGCTTTATTTACTTTTGTTTCTTGCGGTAGCCTCAAGCCTCATGGTCTGTCTTTTTTTTCTTTTTTAGGGCAGGCTTTGAATGGTACAAAAATACAAAAGAAGAAATTTAACATGTGAATACTAACCATCACAATTATTGTGCCCTACAATTAGACACTTTTTTCAAAAAAAAAAAAAAAAAAGTAACATAGATTCCACAAGTGCTTAATGCGCAATTGAACATTCATTACTTAAATTCAAAAGAAAAAAAAAAAAAGGAAAATCAATGTATACATTGTACGTTTTAAATGACGTAAAATGTCTCTCAAATAATTGAAATGATTATCCATTATTGAAAAATGTATTTCTGCAAGGCGTGATATGGTGAATACATCAAACTATACGTCCAGTCAAAGGCGCTATATTGTATCCCACCATAGGCCGCGCTTTCTCAGGACATGGCCAGTGCTTTTGACGATGGTGGACTGATATACAGATTATTCGAATCAAAAACAGCGACGCTCCTTAATTGCTAAGACTCTATTCTCTGTTCCTTTGTTTTCAATAGTACTCTATTTTCTATAAGAATTTGCCTCTGTTGAGTCCTCTAGCCATCACTTCCACGTTAAGCAAGAAGAACAGTGGAATAGCTGCTGTCCTATGAGATGGAAGGCCCTTTTTTTGCCAGATTGCCAGAAGGCTTCATGTCTGAGATTCTATCACTCACTTCACCTGTGGATGTGATCAGAGCATCAGTTGTCTCAAAAGGGTTCAAGCCTGCTGCTGATTCTGATACTATTTGGGAGAAATTTCTACCATCTGATTATCAGGATATCATTTCAAGATCAGATTCTGCTGTTGATTGCTCAACCAAAAAGGCCCTCTACTTTTCTCCTCTTCTCCTTGATGGAGGCAGAATGGTACCCCTTATCCGTTTCTGTTGTCGGATTTTGTAGTTAATAAATTGTTCTTTATGATTTGATTTTGGCTGACTAGTAGGTAAAGTTATGGCAATAGTCCCCGGTATTCTATGGAAGTATGAATTTGCTCAGAAAATTACAATTTGTTACAATTCAATACATATGGCAAAGTTGTTGGGCGTAAGCTTTTAAGGTGAAATGTTAAAAATAAAACTTAGAGATACCATATTAACTGTTTATTGAGTTCTTATTTTCTTGATTTCTTTGATACTTAAAACTTATTTGCATTGACATTGAAGTAATATCTTGCTCTCAAACTTGACAAGAGTAATCATTGTGTCTAATGTGATGCATTTTTTTTTATTTATATGTTTGTACTCTTTCTTGTGCTTGAAACCTTGATCAAATGTTTGTGCTGTTATAGCCAAGACAGAAGTAAAATTAGCCTGATCCGAGTAGGAATTAAGAAAGGCATCCTCCGGTTGTATGAAGAAGTGTTAAAATGAAAGGAGAACCATAGAGGATTCATCTCTTCCGTAATGCACGCTGCTAATAAGAATATTCAAGGCAACATAAAACAATGTGGTCAGGACTCAAAATTTGTGATCAAATTGCCTCCTGTTCAGAACTCTGCAATTTAATCACACTCATCCAACTTCTATCAGTTCTCTTAGATCCCACAAACCTTACATGCACGGTTAACGCCCCTTTCTGTTACATTTCCGGCTATAACTTGTAATTCTGTGGTTTTCCATTTTCCCTTGGCGACCATTTGGTTTGAACTTTTGAACAGAGCTTTTCAGTTGATAAAAGGAGTGGAAAGAAATGTTATATGGTTGGGGCAAGAGAACTCATCATTGCCTGGGCAAGAGATCCATGGCGCTGGCATTGGATATCTCGTCCTGACTCAAGGTTCTTCCTCATCATATATCCAATCACCCCCACACCCAAACTCCTTTGCTAGTGTGATTATAATGTGCCAATCTTTTGCATTTGCAGATTCAGAGAGGTTGCCAAGCTTAAGGCTGTTTGTTGGCTGGATATCAGAGGCAGGATAGAAAGTCAGATGTTGTCTACTGGTACTACTTATGCAGCTTTCCTAGTGTTCAAGATAGCAGAGGAGCATTATGGGATTGAACAAGCAACAAGTTTAATCAGATTTGTAAACCATGAGAGTGACGGTGAGGCTGAAAATAGAGCTGCACCTGTCCATCTTGTATCAAGGGAAGGTATGAATCATCCAGCAGAATTTGATGGAAAGTTTCCCAAAATGAGAACAGATGGCTGGATGGAATTAGAACTGGGGAAGTTTTATAACGATACAGGAGATGATGGTCAGGTGGAGGCTCGACTGATAGAGATTATTAGCCTTCATGGGAAGTCAGGTCTTACTATCGAAGGCATTGAATTTCGCCCTGAGTGACACAAGAAGACTATTTTTCTGTTTTGTAGATGTATTACGTTTTTTCACATAATGTATCCAATCCTACGTGACATTAAGATACATTTTTGCAAAGAACCATTTATTTACTTCTTTTTGTGGATCAATTACTGGATTTTTTGAAAGTTTAAGGAAAAACAGATATTTCAGACCAATCTTTTTCACTTGCCATTCCCTAGTTTTCCTGGAAGTTTTTCAATTGACCATTAGTTGTAAATGAGCTACCTGCATGTTAAGACTGCAGAAACCAAATCGACAATTGCGCCAGTGAAGCTTCAGGTAATAAATACACTGAAAACTTCTTTTCAACATTGTATGCTGCTGAACATGAACATATGACCACAAATTCAATCTACCATAGTTGAAAAGCCGAGTGCTCTGCCTGTTTTCTGTATCTTTAGGCAATGAACTTTAGAATGTGGTCTAAGGGTCAAAGGAAGGGTGTTTGAGCTTTGAACTGTCTATCTTCAACCAGAAGTACATGTCTTACCTGGCCTGGAGCAGCTGAAATGGATCCTGCTAATGATCTTATAGGTGAAACTGGGCATTTTCACTTACATTTCCTCAATTTAGAAATTACATACAGCTACATATAACCACGTAAACAATTTTTGTGCGCAGGTGTGTAGGGATGATCTGAGAACACTACTCTATCTGCAGTTTTCACAATACTAAATCAACATCCATGAAGGGGAAACTATTACAACTGGAAATTATGCACACCAGTCAAGGGAAAGATAGCTCCAACCAAATGGAGCCTTGGAGTAAATAGCTGGCGCAGCTGAATACCAACCAAAAGACTTGAGTTTGTGTTTCCCAAGTCCTGACCGGTGACTGCTGTTTTGCAAGTCCACAAATTTTGAACATATAAAATTCACTATCTGGTCTTCAAGTGATTTGACACTGTACAAAAGAATTGCTTTAAAAAAATTGCCTTTGAATATCTCGTGCATCTCCTCTTTTTTTTCTTTTTCTTTTTTTTGAAGAAAGGGGCCTCCAGGACGTCTTGTAAAAGAAAGCCTAATGCATTGGTTAAAACCAGAGTGGATCTAATTGTTAATCATTGATTCAATCGCCCCAGATGTTTCTATAACCAAGGAGGTGGGAACTTTCCAAAGATGATGATTAGTGTTTGGAGTAAACACCTTGTTCTTTCCAACCTGCTTGATTTACAAGTTCCAATTTTCCACTAACTTAATACCTGTACTTTTCACTTCTTCCATCAAACAAATTTGTCACATCATTGTAATAGATCAGTTCACTATATAAATCTCTCAATGCATTGAAAACAAGAAAAATGGATGAGAATCATAATGGGGTATCATCCCTTTTCTCAGTTCTTGCCTGAAGATTGCATTTCAAACATCATCTCTTTGGCATCTCCTAAACATGCATCCAGGGCATCTGTCATTTCAGTTGGCTTCAATTCTGCTTCAGAACCTGCCACTGTATGGGATAAATTCTTCCTGCAGATTATAAAGAGATCATATCAAATTCGGTTAGTCCATTGAACCATGCAGCAAAGAAAGAGCTCTACTTTCATCTTTGTCACTTCCCAATCCTGATTAACAATGGCACACAGGTAAGTACCTCAACCCCTCTTATCTTTTTTCTATATTTATTTTTTTGGGAATAATTTGGATTAAAAAAGAAAAGAATGTTAAATCTCTTATCTTAGGTAAGGAGCTCGTTTTGCCTGACCTATAATGCTGTTGCAAATCGAATTTATGCTGTCGAAGGTTCAATACAACAATTCATGAAGTTTCTTTAGTGTAGACATGCTATAAATTTGGGTATGTTTGATTTGTTTACTTGTCTTTGTGTCAATGGACTTCAAATGAAGAATGCAGGAAACATGTTACATTTTCGGTATGCTATGTGAACTTTATTCTTGTGGGGGGTGACTACTAAATTCTCTATGCTAATTCAATATTGGTTTTTCATCAGGTTAACTTTCTTTAATCCTGGATAAACAATCCAGGCCATGTTGTTTGGATCATTTCCAAGTAATGGATTCCACCTTGCAATTTTAGGTTCTTCTCATGATTTTCAGCTTTGTTTTCAATGATGTTTCTCTTTTCTTGATAATGCATCAGTCGTGTTGATACCCATGCATTAGAAACTGGGATGGTGTTGAAGTAGAAAGCTTTTATGCAAATCTTCCTGCATAAATGAGCTGAAAATCACTCTTAGGTGATTCTCCGATTCTCCCTGAAGAAGAAGAAAAAACTATATATATCGTAGCAGTCTACAAACTTGACATTGATAGGTTGAAATTAGTGGTGGCAAAACAAAAACTGGATCACTAATGGTCCTGTGTCAATTGTTCATGGATCAAATTGATTCAATCCACTGAGATCCATTTAGTAATTGGCTGTAAATAGACTGGGCCTAAAATGGATAATGGTTGTCCAAATTTCCAGTAACAATCCATTTAAGTTAACACATTTCTGTTCCTTTGTTTTTCTCTTATGTTGTTCTTTTCTTTTTTTTTTCAGATGAAACACCATCGCCGGCCACTGAACTCCGCTGCTCCTGGCGTCTCACCCTCCACAAAAAGTTACGAAATCCATGTAATACCACCCAACTAGGAAGAGTCGACTGTTTGCGAGCTACTCGAATTCAATCAATATCGAGTTCGAACTTATGAAGTCGAACTCGACCTCAAAAATACTCAACTCAACTCGTTAATTCGCGAACCGACTCGATTTTATATATTTTTAATTTTTTATCTTAATAATGAAATTACATATATATTTTTAATATTTTATTATTTGTTAAAAAATTATTATTTTATTTATTTTTTAAAAATAAAATAATTATTTTTTATTTTCTTAAGTTCGAGTTCAATTCAAATTTGAGTCGAGCTCAAACTAGTGTTCTATATTGAGAGCTCGTCGAGTTCGAATTCGAATTCAAATTTGATAAAATTAAATCGAAACTCGACTCGATAAGATCAAAGTTTAACTTGATTCGATTCGTTTGCAACCCTACACCCAGCCATGTGATTTTCATTGAACACCATTAGTATTCAATAAATATTTTTTGGTCCATCCAAAACCATTTAAGGGAAGTGAATACAAATGGTTAGCTAAATCTCCATGAAAATTGTCATCTCTAGTTGGAATGGAATTTACCGTCCCATCATCTGTTATATCTATATACGCATATATATCTACTGTCTTAAAGAGAAAACAGTCACAGGATAGCCAAGAAGCAAGATCAAGAACACCATACCAAATCTTTTACTATTTGATTGTGAGCAAGTCGACAAATTCCACCATTATGCAAATTTATGGAATCTAGTCCCAAGAAGACAAAAGAGAAAACAAAAGTAGTAAAGAAAATCGAGGAAGATAACAAGATGTGACATTTTTCCTAACAAGTCGTATGCATAGCTTCCCCAATGGCAACATGCCTCGTGCCTTTCAATTGGTAGGGTCAAGATGAAGTGATATTAATATTGTTTATTTTGCCTTTCTAAATAGAGCCGTGCCTTTATTTTTCTGGTTGAGATTAAATTTTTTTTTCCATTTCTTTTTATCTACTTCCGTGCCATGACCCTACCAAACCGTGACCACATCGTTGCGTATTGTAGTTGGAAAAGTTATGCATGTGATAGCCGCCCATAGCTGCCACATTCATTTTTTTTTTATTTACACCGTAAACTTTATATTACAATTATTCCTACTCTATATTAAATAAAAAAATCTAAAATATAAACTAAGAAAAATCCATAAATCATCGCCGCTTCAAATAAGTGTCATTCTCCTCTGCTTTTGTTGGGTTAACTCTCTATATGCCCCTACAAGTGTCTCAATTGTCTCAAATTTACCCATTATCTATTTAATGTGTCAAATTGGCCCATCGATGATGGAGAGTCTCAGATTTTTGCACTTCAGTCTATTTCCATCATTAGATCGATCCGATTTTACCCTTAGATCCGTGAGTTTTAATGGTGGAAGTCGTGTGGAGGATCAATTTTGACATTTTTCTAACTGTTGACGGGCCAATTTCAGAATAACAATATAGATAAGTGGCCATTATTAGACAATTACAATAGCTTAAGTATACTCTGATTAGCTTACAAATTAATATTTTTGAAAAAAAAAATTGCAGCACCTATCCTATCATACTTTTTTTTAACAAAAAAGGAAAATTTGCCAATTTGATCATTTACATTTTCAAAAAGAACTTTTCTAGTCCCTCATATTCAAAATCAAACATAAAAATGTCCACCTATTTAGTCTCAACGCTTAATTTCGCACATTTCTCTGGTCAAAAAACGCACGCCTGCCTCGCGTGCCAATAACTTTAAGGGCAAAAATAGGATTTTATTTTGTGCCTCAGAAATGAATTCTTGCAGGAAATTGGCCCACTTTCTAGGTTATTGGATTTGCAGGAAAATTCGCTATTCTTCCGGCAAGAAAACTCATTTCTTTCTATCCCTAACTTTGATTTGAGACTCTTTGAGAGAAATATTTGGATGTTAGGCTATTCATAGACATGAGAGAAAAATAGGGAACTTCTTTTTTTTTGGGTTGCCCTTTTATTCAACACATAGTTGTCTTTATTGATTCACTTTAGGGTAAGGCTAAGCTCTAAAGTTTCAGTCAACCGCAAATTGCAACACTTTCCGGTGACTCGTCCCAACAAACGTCTTTAACCGATTCATCAACTGAAAAAAAAAAAAAGCAATCACTAGTCAAAAGGGCCCTTTATTACTCACCACCTTAAAAAAAGCTAGGGAGGTTTCCATCTGCTCCTCCACTATTGCAAGAGCCCAGCCGCTCATTGGAAAATCAAGATTCAACAGCCTTCCAAAAGGAACGGTACCAACCGCACAAGAATCTGCGCTCTGAAACCTCTTCCGCTTCCTTGTCTGCCTCATCTGCTTCTTTATTGTCAACTCCATTAGCAGCAGCCTTTATTATAGCCAATAATGAAATGAAGATCTATTATTTAGATTTTACTTTATTTGCCTCCAGAATCTCTACTTCACTTCCAATATGTCTCGACAGGATGGATCTCCATCATTTTCAGCCCGCTATTTCTACTGTTTCCATTTGCAAGTTTATCCGACCACCACCACTAGTTCCTCCGCCACAAAGGGCCTCTTTTTGTTTTGCTGCCGGACATGGAAAGCTATTATCCC